CCTCTTATTTTCTTCTTCTACTTCTCGCGCGCACACACACACACACACACAAACATTCTGAGAGCGAGAGAAAGATTGAGTCACTAACTGCGAACATGGTACACGCGTTACGTGCATACATCTGCTTTTCGTGTTTGCTATTACAAGCTTCCCTTTCTCCCTCTCTCATTTTTTTTCTGGTGCTTTCTCTCAACATTTATATTCCGTTGTCTATTATCTTGCTGTGTTTCTGTTCTTTTTTCTTTTCGCATTTAACCTGACAGGTGGAGCAAAGAGAGTGAGAGTCGAAGAGACCAGCTCAGTCGCGCCCCCCGTACACGATACCTATAGGGGAAAAACAACCATGGTGGCGGTTCGCGCAAAGGTCGGTTCCCGCGGCTACGTCCGCCAGAAGCAGCTGGCGAAGGGGAAGAAGGTGTTCAAGATTGACTGCGCCATTCCCGCCAACGACGGCATCTTCAGCGAGGAGATCCTCAGCAACTTCGAGCAGTACTTCCAGGACAACGTGAAGCTGAACGGGCGCAAAGGTAAACTGACGGAGAAGGTGCGTGTTGGTCTGCGCGACAACGTCCTCACGATTGCGACGACGATGGTCTACCGCAAGAAGTACTTCAAGTACCTCACGAAGAAGTTCCTTAAGAAGAAGGACCTCCGTGACTGGATCCGCATCCTCGCCCGGGGCAAAGACACCTACCAGCTGAAGTACTTCAACATCCAGGACCAGGAAGAGGCGTAAGCGTCGAGAGGCTCGCCAGCAACGGGTCAACATCGGTTGGGGACTCCTGCCATCACTCGCTTCCCTGTTTCACCTTTCTCGGCACCTGTGGAAAGGAGAATACGGGATGTGAAGCCATTGCTTTCCTTCTTTGTCCCGCTCTACTTTTTCCTTTTGTTTTTTTTTCTTTATTTTATCCATATTTTTCCTCGCAATGTGTGAGGGAAGCAAGTTGCGTCTTGCCCTTCCTTTTCCCGCGTTGCTGCCGTGGGAACACCTGCTACGTTTTTTTTTTACTTTTCTTTCGGTTTTTTTTGTCCCTTTCCTCTTGCACGCACACAGACGCACACACATTTGTTTCTTTGTACTGCGTAGTTTCAGATTGCACCGAATAAGATGGTAATGTACGTCTGGGGCCAGGATTCTCTCACGCTGGAGGATTTAAAAAATCCCTTGCTGTCTGAGGAACTGGACGCGGAATGCGAGGATATTCTTTTGATCAATGCCCGCAGTTACGCGGTGTCCGGCACCTCCAGGGAAGAAGAGAGAAGCCTGCGAAGCTTTACCGATATCCTCACTGACCACGAAGATATTCAAAAGACGGGCGTTCCACCACACCAAGTCATGGAACTGGACGTGTTAAAGCACTCAGCCGACCAAACCCACGAAGATTGGCTTCGCATGGCGGTTGTCATCCGGGACAACTACCATAAATACCGCGGGTTTGTCATTCACAACGGAACCGACACTATGGTGGCCACCGCCACCGCCCTCAGTTTCATGCTGGAAAACCTGGGGAAACCTGTCATTTTTACCGGCTCGCGTATTCCAGCAGACCGTCTCTACACCGACCTTAAACGCAACTTAATTGTTGCCCTGCTCTTTGCCAACTGCAGCCAGCTCTGCGAGGTCTGTATCTTGTTCGATGAACGGCTATTCCGGGCAAATCGAACAATCAAGGTTTCCAGGTCAACACTCGCACCATTTGACTCGCCGCATTTTCCCCCGCTGGCGACAATGCATGGAACCGTGAGCCTACATCGACCATTTCTCCGTCCGTTTCCACTGGGTCAATTTCGCGTCATGGAAAATATGAATTCAGTTGTCTTGTGTCTGAAGCTGGGGCCATCTATGCGGAAAGAGTTTTTAATGCGATCCATTGAGCTGACAGAGGCACGCGCCATTGTCATCATCGCGTTTGGTGGGGGAAATGCGCCATCATTCGGCGGTTTCATGAAAAAGATCCTGCGGAAGGCGGTGGAGCGTGACATTGCCGTTTGTATTTGCACGCAGAACTTGTACGGTTCGGTGGACTTGGGCACTTACGCCGCGGGCGACCAACTGCTGGAGGCGGGGGCCATTTCGGCATCTGACATGACCATCGACGCCAGCATCATGAAGCTGAAGTACCTCATAGGGCTTGGGCTTCCCACAAAGGATATAAAAAGGTTTTTTAGCAGCGTCAGCCTGCGCGGTGAAATCACCCCGCCACAGTCGGAATTGTAATATGTGCTCTGTGCTCTCTGGGTGGGGGGGGGTGGAGAGAGTAAGAAGGAGTGGGGCCCTTCTTGCTGCCACGACACACACACCCACACACATGCATGCACGAAAAAAATACAGTATATCTACTTTGATAGATAGCACGATGGGTTTTAGTTTTATTTACTTTATCAGCTTCGTTGGGATAGGTCAGACTGCGTCGGCACTAATAAGAAGGTAGGACGTCGCTCTGCTGCGTACGGGGAGGCAGTAGACGGGAAATAGCAACCCAGGATAAAGACTCCACAGCTTCTCGTTTTAGTTTCTTCTGCGGGTGCACGTGTGCCAGCCCTGCTTTCAAACTGCTTTTACTTCATTGTTGCGCATGTGGAAGCGCTCTTTTTCCTCTTTGGCTTTTTTTTCTTTTTCTTTTTTGCCTGTCACGTTTGGGCGACATTTGACTTTCGCCGAAAATATGCGAAGCGCAACAGGCAGGCAAAAGGCGTCTTTGCCCTTATTTTCGTTGCTGCAGCTGCTGTTGGTGGTTTCGCTCTTCGTCTTGTGCCTGTCGTGACGAAGGGAGTGGGGGGATTTTGTTTGCGCCGCAAGAAGGCCCTAAGGCGACGACGCGCCCCCAATACAGGGACACCAAGTCAAAGCGCGAAGACAATAACAGCAGCAAAAACCGATGGGTGAAGCTCTGCTGACATGCACAGTCTGCGGAGCGTCGAACGTGTTCCCCGGCGCCAACGTGCCGCAGAAGGCGACCATGACGACGTTTTGCAAAAAGTGCGGTGGCGTGACTCTTCAGCGGGTGGTCGGCTCAAATGGACAGGGCGGGCGTCCCAGCGACGCCGAGGATGCGGCGGTGACGCCAGAGCACGGCGGCGGCGCCACCTACCATCAAGTCTCTGGCCCAGACACGGGCGGACTTCTCTGGAGGCGGCTGCAGGACGCATTAGCCAACAACGGCGTCACTATGGCAGAGTTTTTTCGTTGTGGTACATCCACGCAAACACGACTCATGTCCGCGGTGGGATTTAGCGACGCTGAGGTGTCGCGACTTTTGGAGCTTGCGGATGTCCATGCCCCAAGCAAGGCACCCGCGAAGTCGGTGGACCCAGCGCAGAAACCCATCGGCACAACAAGAGCAACAGCAGCTACGGAGGAAACACCAAAGACGGAAACAGTGGCAGGTGAGCAACTGAACAAGCCTGATGCTATTGCAGAGGTGATGCATAGAACTTCTGCGGAAACCCCCGAGAGTTTCGCACAAGGTGAAGGGGCGTTTGTGCAAACTCCGCATCATTCACCACAGACGGAGCCCTCGATGTTGGGCCTCAAGGTTCATGACGATGGCACACTCACTGCCCGTTGCTCTGTATATCCCCATTTGGCCGCGGAATTCTGGTGCTCCATTTGTGGAGTGTTGGTTTCGAGCCGTTGCCACGTGTCTGGAATTCATAAGGATCACCCCTTTATTACCCTTCGACAGGCTGCAGAGGCGCATGTGCGGGATCTCGGTACCTGGTCGGAGCGTTGCCGAAGCCAGCTGAATGTTGCCAATACCATTGTTGCCAACCTGCGACACGGGAAGGAACTTTTAAATGACGCGGCTAAGCGTGAGGAAGCTGCATTAGACATGTACTTCGAAGACATTGTTCGAGGTCTCACCCAATGGTGTCAAGGGCTCAAAACGAGTATACAAATGCAAGTTGATGCCCAGATAAAGAATATTGATTTGACAGTACAACGAACAAGCGCACTTGTAGAATTCTACACTGAGCGACTGAGCATATGTGATCCCTTACTACAGTCTATCCCACTCACGCAACAGGTGGATAAGAAGTCAGAGGAGTGGTCCCTGCGTGTGATGGATCTCGTAAGCCGTCTCAAGATGTCAAGCCACGAACCAATTCCTATGCCACGGCTTACGATACCCGAAGTGAAATCTTTTGCAACCGTGGCAACCTACATGGAATTGCTGAAAGCGGTAAGTGTTCCTACGGGTATTCGGGTGCCAGATGTTTTGGATACAGGGTATCTTAATTTCCCCAACCCATCTGATCTGAGACGCGAGGCATTCATGCTTCAGGTTCCCAAGGACGCCAAAGCACGTGGTCTACTTATCTACAGTGGTCGTACACTGACAAGGTCACAGAATATTACACCCACCCACTCCCTTGTTTGTGCTTCGCGAATATTCTATACCGGCATTACCGCGTGGGAAGTTCACGTTGACCGTATCGGAGCTGGACCGGGTCGCATTCTTGCCGGCGTACTTATGGCAGGAACAGATGGTGAAGGCGTTGTGTGGGATGGGCAACGAATTGTTGGTCCTAACGAGGGGGAGTGTCGTGCGCTTCCGGAGCAGTATCGACTAAAGACAGGCACAACACTTCGGTTTGTGCTTGAGCTTGAGGCGCCGTCGTATTTTCTTATTTGCTACTACGAGGATCAGGTGGTGGCGCGCGTTCCGCTGCCACCGGCGCTGAATGGTTGGATTCCCGCCTTCAGTGTGTTTGGTCCGCAGGATCAAGTGACCGTGGTGCCGACTTCCTCCTCCATGGCAGAGCAGCTGGTGGCGGATGCCAACCCGGAGGAGAACCAAAGCAGGGAGACGGAAATGCAGGCGCGCCTCAGCGAGCAAGAGCATAAAATAAACGCATTGCATCAACAGTTGCTTGCTGTGAACTCGCGAATTGATCAGGACCAGTACGAGAACCTCTTCCACGCCTCCAAACCCCTGCAGGAGAGGCAAAGGGGTGCGCTTAGCGGCGATGGTGATGCCGAACCGTCGCTACAGTTGTCACCTCCTTTTCGTCGCATGTCGCCGCAGTCACCGGGTAATGGGTATCCGCCCGCGAACAGGAAGCCGACAGCAGCGACCGTACATGGTGGTGCAAATGCTGCGGCGCCAACGGCGGAAGTGGCATCTCCGTCGCCCTTGTTGGCGTCGGCCGTGACTTCTGGGCAGCATGATCAGCAAAATGCACGAACAGCGAGCTACAGCCCCGAACTGCGGAATCTTCTCAATTTTGTAGAGTCCATCAAGTAGTTTGACATGAAGATCGCACCTGAATTGTCGCACAAAATTGCGTGTGAGAGAAGGGAAACATTGCCGGTGTCGTTTTCCTATTCTGCCTGCAGCAGTTTTCCCAGAAACGGAACAGCGAGGAAAGGGCAGCGGAAGTGTCTATAGAGCCGACAGAGGAAGGGGGAGCAACAGTGGGTTAGTGATAGAAAGGTGGTTGACGATGGGCTGAGGCGGAGATGGTGAGAGATGCCGCGGGCGAGAGTGGTGCACTCATCATTCTATACCTTTCTGGGAAATGGCTTTCTCTGTCTGTTGCCACTACCGCACTCTTCCCTTCTTGCCGGAGTTTTATCGCAGCTATTTTTAGATTGCCGTGTTTTATCGTCCCCGGGGGTCCTGCGTTCCTCTTTTTTTTTTAATTCTCTGTCTCGCCTCGTCTGCGCCCCAACCATCTAAAAGTGGGGAAAGAGGGGCTTCCGCCGTGCCGCTGTTCTCGTCTTTTTTTTTTGCTTCTCGCCTTTCCTCGTGCGGGCTGTATCTTGTTTTTTTTTCTCTATTTTGTCGTTGCGGCCGTGGACGCCCCCATTCGCGTCCTCCCTGCGCGTGTGGGTCCTGAGAAACACTAAGGGAGGGGCTGGGGAAGAAGCGAGTGGTGAGCGACACGGAGGTGGGGGAAAGCACAGCAAAGGAGGAATACGCGTTAATAGTAAACCTGTTGGCGCCTTCAGAAGGAAGGCGGCGTATTTTGAGCGTAGCGACGGGGCAGGAAGGGGCGGAAAAAAAAACGAAAAGCAAAAACAAAAAGGGGGAGGGGGAGGGGCTAACGGGTGTGTTTCGGGTGCGGCCAGGAGGATGGGAAGTAGCAGTAGCAGGCCTGCCCCACTGGCGGGGGAGAAGAGCGGCGTGGGCGCCACTGCGGGAGCGTCGTCCCTGCAGGAAGCACCAGCGTCGCCTGCGAAGGCGACCAGCGATGAGTTCGCCAACTACCGCGAGTTCCGCGACCAGCTGCTGAGCTTCTCACTGGGGGAGAGTGCGTTTGACTACGCGGAACGCCTCTTTGCGAAGAACCCCTCCAGTCCGGAGGTCATGGCGCTCCTCGCAGAAACCACCGTCTTGTACGACAAGAACAAAAACAAGGTGTTTCGAGATCACTGGTGCGACCGGCTAGACCTTCTGCAGCGCGGCGTGGATGTGAGTCGCAAATGCATCAATGAAAACCCAGAGTATGGCCCGTGCTATCGAACATACGTGTTGTGTGCCACGCGTGAGGCAGAGGCGCTTTACTATGTCAAGAGTTTTATCGGTCTAGGACTGCTGGAGAATTACAAGGCCATCATGAAACGTGGGGAAAAAGGCATGGAGCTGCTCCCCACTGACGCAGACATCCCTAACGCGCTCGGATCCCTCTGTGGTCGCTGTGCGTACAAGTGGTACAGCCCCACACGTCCCTACGGGATATGGTGCGGGGTCCCGGGCTGGAGTGAGATGTGGGCCAGAAGCATCGCGCTTCACAAAAAGGCGGTAGAGAATGATCCGACCAACTTGGAGTATGCGTGCAGGCTTGCACAGGCGTATTACCAAAGTGGAGACCTTCAAAATTCACGTCGCTGGTTTGCTAAGGTCCGGGATGAGATGCCGCCAATGGACTTGAAAGACGAGCGTTGGCAATCACTAGCGCACACAGAGCTGTCCACCGCCTTTGCAAAAACCAGTTGGAACGTTCCTTTTGCGTAGGGGGAAAAAAGCTGTCGTTTTTTTTTTGTTTTCTATTTCATTTTATTTTGTTTTTGTATGCAGGGTGGCGCGAATTTTTTTTTTCCTCCCTTGTTCCCTGTTTTTTCTTTGGTTTTCTCTGCATCTGTCTGTCTCTCTCTGTGTGTGTGTGCTTGTCGGCGCATCTGAAACGAAGCTGTGCAGCTACCTTTCGCATCACAATCGTTTTTTTTTATTTGTTCCGTCGACCTCGCAAACATCTACGCACACACGCACTCACACACACACACGTGCGCGGTCTATCTTTCTCGCACATGTAATGCATCAGGGTGGCTGTCAAAGTGCCCTTTGCACGTTACCGGAGACTTTGGGTGCATTCCGGCCGTTTTACTTCGTTTCTTTATTTTGGAGTTTGCCGGGAAGTCACTTCGCCACAGTCCTCCGTTAGCAAATAGAGGATGCTTCGTCGTGTGCCTTGGGGAGGCATTTGCCTCCGTGCATCTCCCCTCGTTGCTTGGAGGGGGGTGACCGCCCGCTACGCCGCCACGATACCGACCCCCACGTCGCCGGCAAAGAGCGACGACGTGCCAACGGCGGCGCTGGCGGGCGAGATACCGAGCCTGAGCTTCCTCTCCTCCAAGGCGGTGCTGGCGGAGACGGTGGATCAAACCATTGCGGTGTGCGACGCGCTGCTGAATGAAATTCCCAAAGTAACTGGCGCAAAGGAGAAGCATGATCTCATTGACTCAACAAGTAACGTTCTGTGTCTTCTGTTGGACCCGTGTGAGTTTGTGCGGCAAATTCATCCAGACGAAGAGTACAAGAAGTATGCGGCCTACGCCTTTCAAAAGGGATATGAGTATATGAGCAAGGTGAATTCCCGCCGCGACCTGTACGATGTTATCGTTGAATTAGACAGCCCTGAGGGACGTAGGCAGCTTGATGATGAGGAAATCAAAAACGTCGTGCAGTTAAAACGTGACATGGAAAGCAATGGCATTCACCTGCCCGATGCGCTCCGGGACAAGGTGACAGAGATGAACATTGAGAAGGAGGATTTGGCGATGCGCTTCTTGACGGAGCAGGGGTCAAAGAATCCTTTTGCGACGCTCCGTTACCTCCTGCGCTGTCGCTATGAGCTTGCACAGCTTCTTGGCTTTGAGAGCTACGCGGAGCAGCAGCTGCGGGGAACAATGCTGGGGAACCAGCAGCGCGTTTGGCATTTCCTCTGTGGCGTTGCCCATAAGTATCGTCCAGACGCAGAGAAGGAATTAGGACTCATTCAACAGAACGTGGGGGAGGTGCGTAATCGACAGAGCATTACAGACGATACTCGGGCCCGCGTGGCGCATTCGCTGCGCCGCGACGCGGAGCCTGAGAAGGCGGCAGAGTACTTTTCCGTCGCCAATTGCATAAGGGGAATTCAGTGCCTTTGTTCGGAGGTGTTTGGCCTGCGCCTGGAGCAGGTACCGTTTGAGAAGGAGGAAGTGTTTAACCCGGATGCCAAGAAGTTTTTTGTCTACGATGAGGACCGGGCCTTCTTGGGCATTATTGTTCTGGACATGTACGCCAACGAGATGAAGTACTGCCAGGCGGGCCACCTTACTCTGCAGCTGGGCTGCAGGCCCCATCAAGAGGCTCTCGCACGGGTAGGCCTGAAGCTGCCAGAGCGGCAGTACCCAGTTGTGGTTCTAACGTGTAACGTCGGCTCTGTCACCCCGGCGCAGCGGTTCTCCAACGGCCGGTACGATGACGAGTCCACCCTCATGCATCCAAGCGAAGTCACGACGGTCTTTCACGAGTTTGGCCACGCAATGCATACAATTTTTGGGCAAACGAAAGTGCAGAATTTGGCTGGCACCCGTGCTAGCATTGACTTTGTGGAGACCTTTTCGCAGCTCTTTGAGCAATTTTTAACCTCACACGAGTTTTTGCGGTTGTGGGCGCATCGAATCAACACACGGGAGCCCATTTCCTTCGATATGGTGATGAGGCGGAACGCCGCGGCGGACATGTTTAAGCATTTGGACATGCTCGACCAGGTGGTGCTCTCGGCGGTTGACCAGACGCTTCACGGCCCTCAGCCATACACGGTGTACTTTCCCCACGGCCAAAACGGCCACCTTGGCAAACGCACCCTGGGCGACAGTAGCGACTACGGCCGCGGCACGTACAACTTAGCGAAGATTCTCATCGACGTATGCACCCCACTCTCGGTTGTAACACCAACGGAGAGTGGCGTGCTTGGCACCCTGTCGTTCGAGCACCTGTCTGGGTACCCCGCCGGCTACTACGGCTACCTCTACAGTCTCTCCGTTGCCCGACGCATTTGGTCGAAGAAGTTCGAAAAGGACCCTCTTAACCGCACCGCGGGGAGGGAGCTGGTGCAGAAGGTCATGCGGCACGGTGCGGCGTGCGATCCCGTGGAGGTCATTGAGAAGTACTTGGGTGACGAGCTAGACGAAATTGAAATCTGGGCATAAACTTGCAATAGGGCGGCAGTGGTGGCACACGAAGGAGGACAGAGAAACTAAGCGAGTGCGTCCCTCCCTGGGGAGGAAGGAAATGAAAAACAAAAAGGGAATAAGAAAAGAATAACGACAACACCAACTAAAAAAAAAACACAACAGAACAGAGCAGACAAAAGTTGGCGGTGTCGGCGTGTCTCTTCCACGCCGGGAGCAGAAGGGGCACATTTAATACGCAGCAAGTCCACGGATATGCCCAAGAGGAGCAATTGCGCTTCGTATGCGTCCCCGTCGCTCACGTTCTTCTCTGTCCTCTTCCCACTCTTTCTCTAACGCACACGTTTATTTATTTATTTATTTATTTAATTTTTTTCCTTCTCCATCCCTCTCCTGTGCGGTGTCCGCAGTCACACGGGTCAAGAACGTCCTGAGGAGAAGGAAGGGTCTGCGGTGCGAAGTAGACATTTGTGTTAGTGTGTGAGTGGTTGGTTGTAAGGAAAATGATGCGTCGCTCCTTTCTTGCGCTTGCGGCTGCGACACCCACTGCCGCTCCCACGGCGGCGGCGGCGGCGAAGCTCAAGATGCACACCCTGCACAAGATCTTAACGGGTGAGTTGCACTTCAAAAACAAGGTGCCTGTCAAGGAGTGCAACATTGTGCACCAGTTTGGGGACAATTGGCAGTCGGAGCTGTCGGAGTACGCCAAAACCCTTTCTGCGGAGCAGAGGAAAGTTGTCGAGCGACAAGTGGCGCGGGTGAAGCTGACACGTTACACGGTTGCGGAGCTCGCTGCCTACTGCGGTGAGGGCCCCGCGCATCTGGACGAGGTAGCACGCGAGGCGAACATTGAGCAGGGCGTTGCCTTCCTCAGAGAGAAGGGCGTGGAGGAGTTCGACAAGTACGTGGCAGCAGAGGCGGCGAACGCAAACTGGAAGCCGCAGGAGGCGAAGAAGTTTGCTGACGCGGTGAAGGCCAAGGCCAAGTAGGCAGGTGCACGGAACGGAGCATAAGGACACTGACGAAAAGTGAACGAGAAGGAGGGAAGGAAGGAAAGAAGGGAAATAAGACAGTACAAAAAAAAAGAGCATGACATGAAGTTGAGGGCAAAATGAGATGGGCGTGGATGGGGTGAAGCGAGGACCGTTAGTGGAGAGAAGGCAACGCAGATGCGACTATCTCTCTCTCTGTGTGTCAGTGCGTGTGTGTAATATATTATTGCATATATTTCTGCGTGACATCATTGGTGCAGGAGGTGGCAAGAGCTGAAGCCACCCCTACTGTCTTTAGGAAACAATCTGTGTGCGTGTGCGTGCGTGTGGGCATCGCGCAAATGCACACTCGTACTCAAGAAGGAAGTGTATCTACATCAGAATGAACCATGACGGTGCCCAAAGGCAGATGAAAGCGGGTGAGGCCTGCAGTGGCTTGCCCAAAAGTTTTTTTCTCTCCACAACCTCTCTCTCTCTCTCTCTAGTTCTGTTTAACCAGGACAAGAAGAGCAACACCAGTATTTGTCGATAAATTACTAACATACACACAGTAAGTGAAGGAGCACCAGGAGGCTGATCAGCCACTGAGGTTTTGAGCGGACCAGGCGGAGGAGATCTGGCGCGTAGGGAAAAGAAGTAAACATCAGAAAGAAAGACAATTCTAAATAAGGGCGAAACCGCACTGGTGGAGATGTCTCCCAAACGTCCACTCTACGATGTTCTTGGTGTGACGCAGGATGCCGCCGAGGAGGACATAGCGCGTGTGTACCGGCGGCTGGCGCTCCAGTATCATCCGGATCGCAACCCAAACGGGGAGGCAAAGTTTAAGGAGATCGCAAACGCCTACAGCGTGTTGGGTGACTCGGGGAAACGTAGTGTGTATGACGCAACCGGCGTTATTCCCGGCGTTGCGGCGGAGGCAGACAGTGAGGCCACGATGGCGGAGCGCTCCGCGGAAATGAAGAAGCGTGTGCAGATGTTCTACGCCACTTATGCGGGGTCGCCGGAGGAGACGGAGGATGTCGTATCGTGCTACAATAAGTGCAAGGGGAACTTCCGGCGGATGGCGCGGGAGGAGCTTCTCTTTGACAACCAAAAGGAGGACGAAGTTCGGCGGCTGCAGGATCTTGTGCGGAGCCTCGTGGAAGGCGGGCGCCTACAGCCGACGGAGGCCTGGAAGGTGACGAGCTCCGCGGCGGTGCTTAAACAAGTCATGCGGTCCTTGAAGAAGGAGCGCAAAGAGGCCGCCGACGCGCTTGACGCCATGGGCCTTTCCACTGAGAAGGGCGGGGGTGACCTGCACGCGCTACAGTCGCTGATGCGTCGCGATCAGAAGACCGAATGGGGCAACATGATGAGCAGCCTGGAGTCCAAGTACTTGCAGCCGAAGGGGGCCGCAAACGGGGTGGAGGAAACAGGCAAGAAGAAGAAGAAGCGCAAGGCGGAAGCAACAAAAGTCGCCGCAGCATCACCGCATAAAAAAACGCGGAGGTGACACCAAATATAGGCGGGAGAGGACACCCACCCACGCCGATGCGAGTGGGAAGAGGAAAAGTAAAAAAGAAGAAGGGTAACGAAAACATTGGAAGTGCAGGTGGGAGAGCAGCGGAGTAGATGAGTACCATAGATGGCTATGTTCGGCACATGTTATAGAATGCTTTTTTTTTTGTACCGGGAGGAAAGGAGAGGTGCAGAGGTTGTCACAACATGAAATATAAATTGTCCAGGCCCCAACTTTATCCTTTGCGTGTCCGCTTTTGCACAGAAGCAAAACATAAAGTGAAGTTTGTGTGCGTTTGCCGCATGCGCACATGTATACACGCTTCGAGAAGAAGGAGGAGAGCAGTGTCTCTGACGCGGCGTCCCTCCTACTGCTGCTGTCTTCTTCGCCAGAGTATTTGTTGGTTTGGCTTTTGTTTTTCCTTTTTTTTTCCCCCCCTCTGCCCTTTTCATTTCTTCTTGCGCTTTAGAAAACAACAACTAGACGCAACGAGAACCAAAACACAACCCCTACCCCCATAAAAAAAAAACAACAACAACAGCGCCGGAATCATAACCTACATTAGAAGCTACTCTGACGCATTCTGTATAATGCACTCTCACGGCCCGAACGTTAGTCGAGAGCCTTTGCTGCGTGAAAGTATTGGTCGGCAATCGCTGACAAGCCGCATCAGTATTCGGGTCGCACGTAGTCTCTCTGTTATTGGCGTAGCAGAGGAGCCTCGCAACGGTTCCGTGGCTGGGGCAGCTATCAATACCCTCTGCAATGTTGTTGGGGCGGGCGTACTTTCACTGCCGCTTGCCATGTATGAGGCCTCAATCGTTGGGGCGCTTGTGTTGATGCTGTGTACTGCGCTCCTTGCAGGATTTGCGGCTTTCGCCGTTATTGCTGGGTGCGACATGACACAGCGTTTTTCCTTCACGGAGGTTATGGCGTTCACTATATTCCCTCCCATGACGTTTGAGAATTTCTGTGCACAGGAGTCATCTGTGCCTCCTGGGGACCATTTCGAAGTAGAAAAGGGAACCATGGAAATGGAGGGTCTTCGCGGACGTTACACGGAAAGTGAACTCAAGCGTCGCAAACGTCGCCGCATTGTAACCGTACTAGTCGAGGCCATTATATTTCTAGGCAACTACGGAACCCTTATCATTTACTCACGTGTCATTGCGGACTCCATACCCCCTGTGGTGGAAAGTTTTTTGCATGGCTCCGGGGTCGTCGTCACGCGCTTTTTTTGGCTTCTGGTATCTGGCATTGTCTTCTTCTTTTTGAGTTGTGTGCGTAACATGGATGAGCTCAAGTGGACGTCCATGATGGGGTTTCTCACTATATTCTACATTGTTTTAACCGCGGTTGCGCGGTACTTCACAAGTCGTCGGACGCCGCCGTATCCCAAGGTTGATCCAGTGGCTCGCGGTGAAATCAATTGGTACCACGTTGGCACGGGTTTATTCCGCACAATGTCGACGTATGGTGTGGCTTTCGATTACCATTACAATGTACCATATTTTTACAAGGAACTTAGGGATCGCACGCTACCTAATATGATGAAAAGTGTTTATATTGCCTTTCCCATTATTGTTTGCTGTTATATTGCAACCGGCGTGTTTGGATATCTGACATTTGGTGATATCGTGGCTGATGACGCCTCGGGGGGCGATATTGTGCGCATCTACCCCGAGGATGACCCAGTGGTGAATGTTGGGCGCCTTGGACTTTTTTTCCACTTCGCCTGCGTCTATCCCATCCTCTCCGTCGGTGCCCGTCGTGGACTTCACCGACTTATTATGAACGCGCTGATGTGGGCTAGCCAGACAGAGCGTGTTGAGCTGGGAGGACAGCTGGGGGAGGTCAGCTACAGCGGTCAGGAGGGAGTGGCAGGTGATACGAGTGACAGTGTGTTTGGTGTGAACGCTGACAGGGACGTGGGTTCTCCTGAAGACACCACCCGGCTAGCCATCGTCCTCGAGGCGCTTTTTATTGTTAGTACGACGCTCTTGCTCGCTGCCGTAATACCGGGAATTTCGGTGGCGATTAACATCCTCGGTTCCCTATTTGGCACCTTTTTGATGCTAACGGGCCCTGGTTTGATTGCGTGGTTTTTGTTCTCACGCACCCCGTTGGTAGGAACTTCCCCGTACCGTTTTGTCCGCCTCCTCATGGGCCTCTCCGTGTTGCTTATTGTGTCGGGTGTTTTTTTTTCAGTTGTGGGAATAACGTTCCTGATCAAAAAGTACACAACTTAGCGGGTTGTGCTGCCGGTTAAGCTTTTATTCTCTGCAACCGCTGCAGCGGCTGCTGTATCTCGCTATTCCTTCTTCGTTATCTTCTCTCCTGTCTTTTTATTTGCTTTGTTTTAATTGTTGATACTTTCGTAGCGGACTTTCCCCTTTGCCTTTTTTTCCCCGTTTCTGAGAAAAGGAAGGCGTGTGCACACACGTTGTGAACTGGGGTTTAACCTCTCTGGCACACGCACGCACCCACTCACTTCCATTGCTTTTTGTGTTCTCTCTACAGTGCTTGGCCTTCTCGCCTTCCTCCTCCTTTTTTTGTCAAATGTTTCTCCGCCACTTCACTCCCCTCTATGCTTCGTCACATCGTTTTTTTTTTTACTTTCCTTGCTTGTCTGCGGGAGGCGGCCGCATTCCTGCCGCACACTTTCCAGGCAGACGCAAGGCAGAGAAAGGGTGTGCGGTCGAAGGTTGAGAGACATACACAGGAGATGCGGCGCTGGAGTCGATTCGCCGTGGCGGCTGCGCTGCTGTCTGTCTCTCACGCGCACGTCTCCGAGAGAATGACGCGGAACGTGCAGAAGGTCCCCACTCTGCTCATTGACGAGGTGGAGGAGGCGGTGGACGACGCCGAGGACGTCGCTGGGGTTGGGGCTGAAGGTGCGGAAGAATCCGTTGTTGAGATGAGCGAGGTGGAGCTGCAGGCACTGCCCAAAACGTATGGAGGGAAGTTTCTGAAGGAGTCATGCTTGTCGGCGGAAGAAAGACAACAGCTTGCACGAATGATTTTTGAGGCGCATTACGCCTCAGAGGGAGAGGGAAAGGAGGACAGGGCAATGTGGTATCAAAGTGAGTTGGAGGTGCAGTGGCTAGAGGAGTGGGCACTCGGCGGAGGAGAGGGAGAGAAGGACACGGCGCGTCGTGCCGTTAAGAAGGCAGTGCTGCAGCGTGTTGACCTGCATAAACCTCTCGCGTACATTATTGGGCAACAGCCTTTTTACGGATGCGACATTCACTGCTCTCCTCCGCTGCTGTGTCCACGACCGGAGACAGAGATGTGGACCCACTGGTTTGTTCAACAACATCTTGCTCACTCACTGGACGGTGACAAGCCACCTGTGCGTGTACTAGACATGTGCTGTGGCACTGGTTGTGTTGGGATTGCCATCGCCGTGCATGTGCCACGTACAGAGGTTGTGGCGGTGGACGTGATGGATGAGGCCGTGAAGGCCTCTGAGGAGAATGCGAGACGTAATGGGATCCCTTCATCGCGCTATCGTGCGATCAAAAGCGACATGTTTGCGGCCTTTCTTGCGTCGGATGACAACTCCAGTATCGGAAAAGGAGAGGAGAAAATGGGGGGGAAGAGGAGGCCAAAGCTGGCAGATACGCATCTGGGTTCGTTTGACATCCTTGTTTCAAATCCCCCCTACGTGTTGCCGGAGCAGTACGTCCGTCTCCCTCCCGGCATAAAACTTTGGGAATCGAAACTTGCCTTGGTGGGCGATGCCACGCGGGAAAATTGCCAGTACCTCTATTTTCAAGAGCTGTGCGAGTTGGGGGCCGCAATCTTGAAGCCGAAGGCACGCCGTGATGCGGCTCTCGTCAATGCGCCAAATTTCATTCTGGAGGTGGGGCTGCAGGGAGAGCGTGTGGCTTCTCTCATGGAACGAAGCGGGCTGTGGGAGAGCGTGGAGGTGCACCTTGACTACGCACAGCAGCTGCGGTGGATTACCGCCTCCTCTTCCCACTGAGGCACGCGCTCTTTCTGTGTTTGTGTGCTGCTGCTGCGGCGGCGGTTGCGTTGAAGAGAAGGGTCAGTTGCGGAGGTTGTGAGTGAAAGGCAGGAGGCGCCCGTCGGTGTTGCTCTCATTATTATTATTATTTTTTTTTAGCATCCTGCTGCCGTGCCCCTTCTGTATACTTCGCTCTCACCGCCTTCTTGTGGATTTCTGCCAGCGACAACAACAACAAAAAGAGGGGAAGAGGAGCCCAAAGCTCAACAAACACGGAGCGGCGTAATTATTTATTTATTTATTTATTTATTTTTCTTCTTATTTTACAGAAATATCGGCATATCCATAGCTTCTTGGTGCCGTGCGTGGCATTTCTCGTGTTGGGCGCCGGTGGCTGCGTGGCATTGCGTGATGGTCCTCATCGAGTGCAAGCGTCTGCCAAAAGATGAGTACAGCAAGGACTACGACGTATTTTTGATGTCGGTCCCTGCGACCACAAACATAGGTGTGGTGACCGATGCGCTGCAGCGGATGCGTAATACAAGAGTGCGCATCAAGTGGATGACGGCGGCCGCAAAGCAGCTTGCAAAGGACTCCTGTGCAGAGGAGCAGCAGCACCACCTGTTGGGTCCTGTCGCCGACGCCGAGCGGTACATGTCCCTCGAACGCGCAGAAAGTCGGCTGACGTGTGCCCAGGAAGAGTTAGACGCCTTGGTGGACGCATTCAAGGGGGGTGCTATGATCCTCTTCCCGGCCGAGTGCAGTGGAACAGACGCGGTAAAGCGTTTAACAAAAGTGCTGGATGACGACAACGCCACCGATGCGGAGCGCTCCAGGGCGCACCGCCTTCTCAGCATCATTGACGATGGCGCAACCACGGAGGATATCCTGCAGGGTGTGGCGAGCATGTGGTGGAGTGGCAAACAATTGGATCGGGCTGCCGACCTCGCAAAGTACGTGGGCAAGAACGAAAAGACAAAGATTACGGTGAAGCTGACGGCCAAAGATGCCCCCGCGCCTCCGCGAGAGCCTGCTTTGGATGCCAAGGCGCAGTCCGAGCTTATGGCGTATTACTTTAGGAAACAGGAGGAGATGAAAAAGGTGATTGAAGACGAGGACCTCACCTACGGCAACAGCGCCTGGGCCAATCCACAGGGTCTCAAGTCCCAGTTGCATGGCTTCGATTCGGTAAAGTTCAAACCGGGGTAGTACGATGGATGGTTGTATTCCGTTAAAATAGACATGCTCCTCCGCTCTTGCGTTTCCCACTCCTGTGCGAGAGAAGCAGGAGGGAGAGACGGCGGTCCCACGCAATGAACGGACGGATGCGTTGGATGAGGATGTGCTCTACTTTTATTATTATTATTGCAGGAATTATTATTTACATCTCTGTCTGAGAAAGACGTTGCCGTGTGCCGGCTTCCCACGCTAGCAGAATCAACGATGCTGAGATGTACACTAATGCCCCCACTCGTTTGTTCTTCCTAAGGGGGGGGGAGGGGAAATGCTTTTGCTCTTTGTATATTCTCATTTCTTCCTTTTTTTTTTGCTTTGATTTTATTTTAAATACACATATGCAGGCTTTAGCCCCTTTTCCTTGTGCTTCTTTTTTTTTTCAGCTCCGCGGAAGAGATGGGAGTTGACCTCACCGGCGTCCAGAAGAAGAAGCGCGTGGTGCGCCACCACACGTACTCGACGAACCCGTACATCAAGCTTCTCATCAAGCTGTACAAGTTCCTCGCCCAGCGCACCAACTCCGCGTTCAACAAGCTCGTTCACCAGCGCCTGCTGAAGAGCCGCAACAACCGCGCCCCCGTCTCCCTGAGCCGCATTGCCGTCTGCATGAGGCGCAAGTCGGTGTGGCTGGAGAAGGGCAAGAAGGCCCCCATCGCCGTCGTCGTCGGTGACGTGCTTGACGACGTTCGCATGATCCGCATCCCGGCTCTGCGTGTGTGCGCGCTTCGCTTCTCGAAGAGCGCCCGCGAACGCATCACCGGCGCTGGTGGTGAGTGCCTGACGTTTGACCAGCTCGCAATGGTGGCGCCGACCGGAAAGAACACCTTCCT